GTGTGGAACAGAGTCAACATGGTATCACAGCAGCAGTAGACTACAGCTGTCTTGAGTTAAACTCCACTTCAGCAGCAGCTCTCCGCACCACGTTCCTGGGCTAGCTACACCCGGATGAGATAGCTAAAGCTGAACGGTGAAGTGTGCAGGTGAGGGAGGAATCTGCTATTCTTACATAAAGAAGAGTTAAAATCAGGCCCGCTGATTGAATCTGTGTTATTTTAACTAAGCACGCCATGCTAAGCTAGCTCACGCTAGGCTACATTTGCTAGCTACCACCTTGGTAGCTAATATTGTTGCTTGTACGTTTGTTTACAGGAAACAGACATCTTCAGCTTAGTGCTGTGTATCCTATCTTCTTTATATTGGTGTTGTTTTTACATAGGAATAAAAAAAAAAATCACCCGCTGTGTTGTGTAGGGCCTTTGATAAATGCTCACAGGGTTTGCTGCTAATGGAGCTAACTTAACCATAAACATTCTATATAGGCAGCCAGTAAATTGGCGTCATACTTTTTTTTTTATTAGCTTGACACCGTGTTTGATAGGGTTATGTTTCCACGAGGAGGAGTCTTTTACTGCTGTGTTGCATCATGTGGATTTTACCTGTGTGTCCGTGAAAGCATCACATGACAGGCGGCACAATTACCATAGGAAGTTGACTACTTTAGCATCTTATGGTTTACTTGTTGAGTTAATTGAAGAGTATCGGGTATTACCAATACTGACACCTCCTGACTGAACTGTGATGTAACTGTGATGTGCAGGATCACTAAGTTCCTGTCATTTGGTGCCTTTGTTGCCTGCTTGGGTGTAGCCACTCCATAACAGTAACAGGAGTGTGCAGCCGGACATTTAGCTCCTGTGACCCAGTTTGTCTTTTATTTTTCCAGGTTGCACCCCCTTCCCCTCTCCCCCAAGATTTTCCCCTCTCACCTTCTTGCTCTGATCACATCAACATGGCCAGCGGTGATGATGATGACCCGATTATAGAGGAGGTATGTTTAAAGGGTTAAATGAAAGGATATTACACGTCTCACTGACCTAATCAAGTATGATACAGCATTTTTTCTGCCCTGTGCACCTTTTATTGCTGTTCTGCATTTATCAGTGTGAACAGCCTCACGGGAAGTAAACAATTCCCAGGTGTTTCCCATGCATAGTTTCTGTTAGGTTAGGTGTATTAACAGGTAATGAAATCACCTGGCAGCAAATATCAGTGTTTATACTCATAGTTGTAGTGTGAATTTTGCATATAGTCGTCATTGGCATGACTGTCGTGGCAATTTTTGGCTTTTAATTATTTCTTTGAAGTGATAATTTTCCAGGGAGGAATGATTGTACAGCATACATATTTAATGACTTTAAATATGTACTTTAGTAATTGGTGCTGAAGGTTCTACAGTGCCTTTTAACTTGACAGGGACACAGTTCATTAACTGATTAGTGATCATGGCTTGACTACTTCTGGCAGCTAATTTTTCAGCAGGAAAAGTTTGTTTGAACTAAGTGGAGACACGGCTTATTTTAATAATCTATTATTTACTTGGTGGCACGGTGGTTAGTTGTGAGTCACTCCTGCCTCTCAGCAAGAAGGTCATGGGTTCGAATTTAGTATCTTTCTGTGGGTTTTGCATGTTCTCTCAGAGTGCTCGACCCACAGCCCAAAGACACGCTGTCTCTGTCTACATAAACGCACCACAAAGAGGCTACAGGCATTACATTAAATTATGCGGATTAACTGCTAACTAAGTCTGATATGATGTTTAAATCAGGCAACTTACTGAAGACAACTTTAATACTTGGTATTGCAGTGATACCTGCAGCACACAGAGGTGAATCTAAAGAGGGCATGGGGTGTACTAAGCCATATTTATTTAAAGGCTATCCTAACAAAACTTTTAGAATCAAAGAAAAAACAGGGCTCGCAAAATCGCTAGCCCGACGTCCCAGGGCTAGCGATTTTTCCAGTCGGGCTACCAAAATCTATCTC